GACTCATATCTTCCAAGTCCAAACTGTGGCCCAACTCAGGGTCACAATCCAACCCCAAAATCGTGGTAATGGCACTCGCCAATGCCACAATTGTCAACTCTTCGGGCACTCTGCCACGAACTGTTTCTGTCCACCCCGCTGTGTTAAGTGTGACGGACACCACAGCACCAAATCCTGTGAAAAAACATTGGACACTGCCGCACTTTGCACGAACTGTGGCGGTCCACACCCCGCAAACCACATCCTATGCCCAAAAAAACCCAACAACCCGGAAAATCGACCCTCCTCTAATGAGGACCGACCAAATGACACTAGAAAACCCTCTGGCTCCAGTTCAACCACCCAATCCTTTTCCTATGCAAGTGTAGCTAAAGGTAGCACAACCCCGCAGTCTGGACCTCCACCCCCCCTTCCCCCTAGTCCAGATTTCCAAAAACTTCTAGCTGAGCAAATCTCAGCTCAAAACCTCTTCGGCCCCGCATTCCAGCGGCTTTTACTCGAGCAAATCCAAGCTCAAGTCCAAGCCGCAGTTGCGAACATGCTTTCCGGCATGCTCGCTTCCCCCCTAAACCCCCAGCCTAAGCAATGACTTCCACTCATGCCAAAGGCCTCCTCATAGTCTCTTGGAATGCAAATTCCGTTTTTCCCAAACGGCTCGAACTTCTCGACTTCATCACTCAATCCAGTCCCGACTTAATACTAATCCAAGAGACTTACCTTCGCCCTCACACTTCTTTCAAATTTCCCAACCACCTAGTCTACCGCAACGACCGCCCTGACCGACGTGGCGGAGGCACCGCCATACTCGTCAAAAACTCACATCGCCACACTCCCCTTCCAACACCCCTGCTCCGTTCCATCGAAGCAACAATAGTCCAAATACAAACATCCAACAGCCCCGTCGTTGTGGCATCCATCTACATCCCCAACCAGACCTCTCGCGAGGACACAAGACACGATCTCGAAATGCTTCTCTCCTCTACCAACTTCCCAATCCTACTTGCTGGGGACTTTAACGCCAGACACCGGCGTTGGGGATCCCGGCAAGGAAACCCCCGAGGAACGGCAGTAGCCGAACTTCTCAACGACCTCCCCATTCAGGGACACTTTCCAAGTGACCCGACATGTTTCCCCTCGCACGGCCTACCATCGACTATAGACTTCGGACTTTCCCAAAACATAACGTCCCACATGTCAGTTTCAGTGCATGATGAGCTTAGTTCTGATCATTCCCCGGTGTTCTTTACTGTCACTAATACCCACACGATCTCCACCCATAAAACACGAAAAACCACCAACTGGAAAAAATTTACCAAAACACTCCAAGAACACCCGCCCACCCTACCGCGCATCGCGGACGCCGCCTCGCTCGAGGCGGCGGTCTCTACCTTCACTTCAGCCATAACCCAAGCCATAGAACATAGCACTTCAACAGTGCCGAATAACCCAAACAACCCCTTTCTGCCCCCCCACATATCCGAGCCCTTATCCGCGAGAAAAACTGGCTCAAACGCCAGTATCGTGCCCGTCTCGACCCCAATCTAAAGCGACAGATTAACAGTCTGGTACGCGAGATTAGGAAAGAGCTCAAACTTTTCAGAGATGAAAGGTGGGAGAGCTTCCTATCTACGCTGGAGGACGATAAAAAGTCGCTTTGGAAGGTTCAAAAGCGAATGAGAAACACAAACTCACGCTACGTCCCCCCAATTCACGGCCTAAACGGAGTAGTCTATTCCGACGAAGCGAAGGCAGAGGCCTTTGCCGACTCGTTAGAACACCAATTCCGTCCAAACCGAAACCCAGACGACGACATCGACTTCGATGAAGTCGTAGAAGATTTCTACGAAAACTTCGTAGCTCCCATTCCCCCTCTCCAGGCCCCTATCCCCCCAGCAACTCCTAAAGAAATTTCGTCCATCATCTCCACACTGCGCAGCAGAAAAGCCCCAGGTCACGACCAAGTAAACAACATCGCACTGAAACACCTCCCTGAGGTTCTTATAACCCAATTTACCACCGTCATTAATCTGATAATGTCCCTTAGATATTTTCCGAACGTTTGGAAACTAGCCATAATTATTCTAATCCCAAAGCCAAATAAGAACCTCACGTTCCCAGAAAACTGGCGTCCCATCAGCCTCCTCTCCTCCCTCTCGAAACTGGCTGAGAAAGTTATTCTCTCCAGAATAAACGACTTCTTGGCTAGTGCCGAGATCATCCCCCAGGAGCAGTTCGGATTTAGCCAATCCCTCTCCTGCGAACAGCAAGTCGCACGCGTGGTGGAACATGTCACGCAGGGTCTAAACGCCAAGCGGGGCACTGGTCTTGTCATGTTTGACATCGAGAAGGCCTTTGACAAGGTTTGGCACGAAGGCCTTGTGTACAAACTTCACCACGTTCTCCACTTTCCCCAACAGATCACCCTCATCATTAAATCCTTTCTTGTCGATAGGAGATTCCGGGTCCGCATCGGAGACTCCCTTTCCACTCCTCGTGCTATAGAGGCGGGGGTACCGCAGGGCTCTTCCTGTCGCCCACACTCTATAATACCTTCACTTCCGATATCCCTAAATCCCTGGAGACTCGTCTTGCGTTATTCGCAGACGACACCTGTCTCTACTCCACTGCCTCGAGCAATGGAATTATGAGCAGGCTCCAACCCCACATCGCCCAGCTGCTTGATTGGTTTTCCCATTGGAAGATCAAAATCAATGCAGCGAAAACCCAAACCTTGTTCGTCTCCGGACGAATGAGGCTCCCACTACCTCCTCCGCTAGTCATAGATGACGAAGAGATCCCTTGGGGGGAAACCGCCAAGTATCTTGGAGTCACACTAGACCGACGGCTATCCTGGATCCCTCATATCGACAAGAAAATATCTGGTGCCCGTGCCACTTATGCTAGCCTTCATGGCCTCCTCAGCAAAAAGAGCACCCTCTCCCTCTCAAATAAAGTCCTACTGTTCAGAACAGTCATTCGCCCCCAGCTCCTCTATGCAGCCCCAGTATGGTGTAGAGCTTCCGACAGCCAAATCCACAGACTCCAAGTCTGTGAGAACAAAATCCTCCGCTATATCACCAGAGCTCCCTGGTATATACGAAACTCCGACATACGTACTGACCTACGCATCGACCCCATCCCCAAATACCTTCGGGATCGTGCCTTGAAGTTCTACGAGAAAATCGGTACTATCCCCAATAGTACCCTAAAAATCTTTGATTACAATCCCGAGGACTATAGAAACTTCAAATACTCCCATCTTAAAACCATTGTTCTAGACAATTAATTTTGTCCCCCCCCTTCTCATAATATAGTCCTCCCATTACCCCACACCCCCCCTTCTTCCCCACATATTAGCAGGAATAATAGCTGACCATCTTCGGCGGCTGATTCCTCGGAGGTGGACTTTTTTAGTGGGTATCAACACGAGTCCCACACTGTCTAGGGTTATTTCTATGATCATCTCTCTCTCGAGATGGTCATGGAAGTGATCACTATTCGTCTATAAAGATTTTTTCAACCACCCCTCACCAAAAAAAAAAAAAAAAAGTACGTTACTCAGGTTTTCCTCCAAGTTTCTTTACACATATTTTATTAACCAAAAATGTCTGGCCGTGGTAAAGGTGGAAAAGTGAAGGGAAAGGCAAAGTCTCGTTCCAATCGTGCAGGATTACAATTTCCCGTCGGTCGTATTCACAGATTGTTGCGTAAAGGCAACTATGCAGAGCGTGTAGGAGCCGGAGCTCCGGTTTACCTGGCTGCTGTTATGGAATATTTGGCTGCCGAAGTTTTGGAATTGGCAGGTAATGCCGCCAGAGATAACAAGAAGACCAGAATTATCCCTCGTCATCTTCAACTAGCCATCAGAAACGACGAAGAATTAAACAAATTGTTATCTGGTGTGACCATAGCTCAAGGCGGTGTTTTGCCTAATATTTAAGCCGTTCTGTTGCCATAGAAAACCGACAGCAAAACCAAATAAACAATCTTGACGGTTCCTTACCTAGCAGATCGCAACCTAAAATCGGTCCTTTTCAGGACCAACAACTATATTTTCGAAAGAAAGAAATTTTTAATGTTTTTAACCAATTTTATTTTATAAAGATGTGGTAAAGCTGCGTTAATATCTTGCACTCGAGTTAGTAAGTTAATATCATGTTTGGATCTATCATAGGGCGTTAGGTATAAAACTCACGGTATGACAATAAATATAAATCGACATTGACAAAAAGGGAATGCCAAGCCGTTTTGATTACCAACGTAACGTCAATTTATTTTTTTTTACCTTTGTAAATTTGTTAGCAACAACAAAAGCTCGACTTAAGCATATATATATATATATATATATATATATATATATATATATATATATATATATATATATATATATATATATATATATATATATATATATATATCAAAAGTAATGTATTGTCAAGAAATCGTTTATTTAGGTTTTTTTTCACAGATATTTAATTTATGAGCCTGTAAAGAAGACAAAGTTTGGTTTTCGATTTACTTAGAATTTTATTTATATAGAGTAGATTGGTGAGGGCCGGCTTGTTTTTATATCGATGTAAAGCAGTATATTTTCGAATTTAAATAATATCTTAGTATTAAGGATAGTAAAATGATTATAGATAATAATAAGGTTATTTTTTTTACTTTGAGACCGTTATATTTGAAGGGTAAGGGGGTGGGACGGATTATAATTATTACCATAAGTAAGCAAGTTTTTTCTTTTTTTTAATTAAGAAATTTGTGGTTCTGAAAAGAATCGATTTTTGAAAATTATTTCAATTAAGAAATATATTTTCTATTGTTTTATCTCGTACGTCGTCTAGGTATAAGATCTGATGTTGTCATTGTCCTTATGGCAAATATATTGTTCGTACCTGCCGTAAAAATTACTTCTTCTTCTTGGGAGAGGCAGCTTTTTTGGCTTTGGAGCCGGCGGAAGCTGCTGCGGTAGATGTTTTGCTGTTTTTGGTTTTGGGGCCTTAGGTTTTTGTCGGTCCAGTTTTGTTGGACTTTTTCGCCTTAGAGGGAGATTTGGGTTTAGCAGAGGCGGCAGTCGCTGCTCCACCAGAGGCGGCTTTCTTCTTTTCGGCTGCTTTCTTTCCGGCTACTTTTTTCTCCGACGAAACGGCTGCCGCTTTTTTAGCCTTTGGAGATCCGGTAGCTTTTTTCGGCGCCTTCTTTTCGGTAGCTGCTGATTTCTTTGCGGCGCCTTTCTTGGCTTTAGCTCCGACACCCTTCTTTCTATCTCCTGCGGCTGACGATGTAGCTCCGCCGCTCGATGATTGTTTAGATTGGGCCGACGAACTTGAAGCTGCCAGTTTGAAAGAACCGGACGCACCTTTACCTTTTGTCTGGACTAAGGTTCCGGATATTACTGCCGATTTCAAATACTTTTTAATAAACGGTGCTACCTTTTCCGCGTCCACTTTATAATTAGCAGCTATGTACTTCTTGATGGCTTGTAAAGAAGAACATCCTCTCTCTTTCAATCCTTTAATAGCGTTGGTTACCATCTCCGATGTCGGGGGATGGGTAGGTTTTGACCTGGGATTCTTAGCTTTCGAAGATTTTTCCTTTTTCAATGAGGAGGCCGATGTACTTCCGGCTCCTGCGCTAGGTTGATTCGAGGGCGACGTGGCCTGTCCACTAACTTCTGCATCTGCCATAACTGATAGATTATTATCACTAACAACGACAATTAAAAATTCGCTAAAATAATATCGAGAGATAGAGCGCGTACGTTAACGTATTCACTGGTCGCTACCAATTGCCCGTCTGACAAATATTCCGGTGGTCGTATCAAAACGGGCGGAGGGAGGACTGAACGGTGCGGCCACGACGATGCTCCGTATTCCGGCTTCGCTCGTACCTTTAGCGCACTGGGAGCTATATTTTTTCTAATTGTTTTTATATTACAATAAATACTCGGTCGAGACTACGATCGAACTGTCGCTTTAACGGGACTGCAAATTTTGTAGGGAATACGAATTTTGGCCTGTTATTCTAGGATTTGTCGCTTAAAAATCGTCTCAAACAGGACGCCGTTCGCATTTCAAGTTAAAATTTTTATTTCATTCGCATATATCATTTGCTTGGCAACGATTCCGTGACAATCGTTTTAACTACAAGTACTTCAATGTATCCTCTGTAAGATTAACGAATTACTTCGTCGTTTCGAATCGCTATCGAAAAAAAAATATTATGCCGGTCTCGCGCCGTTTCTCTTTGAGCCCAAAACGAATGCTCACGTTAACTGGAAATCTAACATTTCGGTTTAAAAAGTGGAGAATGAGTCTGGCGTTTAAAAGTTAAGGAAAATAAAACAGTGGACAAGATAAAAAGGTCCATCATATTTAGGGAAATTGATTTATATGCCGAACGTAGCCAGAGTATGTCTAAAATGTTTCGTACGCTTGAGAAATCTGCCTTAAAAATTAACCGTATCTACGTGCTGAAACCCATATAGAATGGTACTTTTCTATTCAGGAATAAGCGTTCTAAAAGCGCGTCTTCTATTATATAGAAGAAGATCTTTCAAGGAAGACCAAGGTCAACCCCCAGTTTTTCCCTAAATTTAGGGAAATTTTCCCGTCCATAGCGCCCCACCCCATGTAATCTTATAACATGGGTTATATGTAATTTCCCTAAATCTTCTGATTTTTAGATTTGGCAACGTCGCATTTTGCTATGCATCCGGCAACACTGTACGTAGACGCCGAACGCCATCTAACGTCTACCTCCGGAACTACCGCGCGCCACCTATCGGGTAGCTCAAGCGTTATAATGATGGTAACTGTAATTTGGGATGCATGACGTCATACGTCTGACGTCATAGATATACAGATATAATTTATTTTTAATAAAAAGTTCGGTGTAGGGTTTGAACCACGGACCTGTCGATCGCCAAGCTAACGCCTTAATCAACACGACCACAAACGTATTTAAAATTAATTGTAGGTATGTCTATATGAGGGCCCCAAATTAAAGCTGTCTCAAAGGTATAGATCACGTAATGAACGACGTTCGTACACAAGTCAAATACCATATACGAGCGCCATTCACCATATGCCATACACCTAGCCCTGCGCCCCGGGGGGGCCCCCCAACATATAGGTTAATTAAATTAAATTTTTATTAGCGCATTCACCATTTTGTCATTAATAATTTACTAAAAAATCGCCATTTATCAAAAATTAAAAATATATACATTCACCATTTTAACAAGATTTAACAAAAAAATATATACATTCGCCATTTTGTCAAGACTAGAAGAATAAAAAAATATATTAGCGCATTAAAATAATAGCGTAGATTAAAAATATTATTTACTTACCACAAACTAGCTATAGGGGCGCAGCATCAGCAGCAGCAGCACCACCGGCAGCAGCAGCAGCAGCAGCACGACGGCGCAAGGTAAGTACCTAAAATATTAACAATTTATCAAAATTAACTAATAAGCGCTATTAGCATAAAGTAATTAGATGCAATTTCCTATAAAAAAAACAAAAGAAAAAAGTTTAGGTAAACAAAGTTGACTTCGACAAACATCGGTTGTTATCGTAAGCGCGCTGGGGTGTGGCACTGTCCTTTGTCGCGCAAGCTCCAAAACAAACAAACAGAAAAAAATATAAATATGTACATAATGCAAAACATAACGTACCCAAGGGCTTTGATAACGCTAAAACAAAGTTTAGAGGTTACTAAAAAACAGACAAATTTAACAACTTATATCGAACTTGGAAGAAATGTAGGCACAGAAAAATTTAAAAAATGTGTACATAATATAATGCAAAACATAACGATTGAGGGAATGAAAATTAATTTAAGAGTATTAAAGCAAAAAGATATAGGTTAGAAATCCATACTCACCAGGTTTAACACATACACTTACATACTTCTTCTTCAATATAGCATTCAAACGCTTTTCACAACTGGGTTGGAGCAATACGTAACTGGGAACGTGAAGTACAACAG